GTAAGCAACGCAGATGCTGGTGGTTTCCTAATGTTGAACGAACTTTTATGTTTAGAAACAGGGAGTTCAAGATAAAAGACATTTTGGAAATTTTCTTGCGTGAATATGTTGAAGAACTGTTCAACGGTTATGAGAAATATTTGAACATAGAAGAAATAAAAGATCACCTACAAAAAGTGATAAATACTTAAAGAAAAAATATCTATATATAGTAAGAGAAAATGAGTAGAGCAAAAATTGAGGTTATAGATACAGGGAATATTGGTATATATGCTGACTTTGGTAGTGATAGTGAGGACGATGATTGGGAAAGAAAACAAATAGAAAAAGAAGATGAAGAGATTAGAGACTTTGTAAAGTGCCATCCTATGCCTTCACCAGATGATGAGGAAGGAGAAAAGTTTTGGAAGAAAGTAATTGATAGGATGAAATCAGGGGAAGGGGTAAAGGATATGACGATATATATGTTTGTAAATTTTGACATTATGAAAAAGATGTATGAAAACCTGACTGATAAAAAAGTCATCATTGATTGTGGAAAGGAACTCAACCGTGATGGTGAATTCAACGCAATGATTATTAACATAACTCTTTTATCAATAGCGATGGATGAACTGAATGATACAAACAAACCCTGCTTAACACAAATGAGAGTGATTGAACACTGGTGGGATGGAATAGGAAAGTGGAAAGCATAAATGATTAATTCATAATATCTTAACAACACATATTATGAAGTAATCACCCACCCAAACACAAACAAAAACCCCAGCAGCCTAAACAAATCCTACCCCCATTCAATCCAAACATTGACACATCACTTTAGCAACAAAATTACCCCCAAAACCCCACCTGAAAAACATCAAAGGCGAAGATGAAACATTGAACCCCAACACAAAATCATAACAAGCAACATACAAACATATACGCCCTGAAACCCCCATTTTTCCATTTTTTTCCCATAGATTTTCCCAACGAAACCTCCATGCCTGGGATTTCCCAGCTATGACACCCTTCAGGGTATCCCCGAGAATTTCACACGAAATCATCCCATAAAAGCATCCCTGATCCTTAGAATATGGTTGTTTCATGTTGTTTCCCAAGTCATGGGGGTACCCCGCAGGCTCCACTCGTGGTGTTTCCCATGTCTGTGTTGTTTCACGACCTATGGTGACCGATGAAATTGCCCATCTCTGGAGGAAGATTTACATCCAACTTCTGGGCCTCACTGGAATCATGGTTTGTAGGGAAATCATCCCCATAGCTGGCCGCAAGATTCAGATTAGTGAAATATTCTAATTTACCCGGATTCATGGAGTATTAACCATTATTAGCCATTATTAACCACTATTAACCAGTATCTACCCCATTCATCAACTATGACTTGGGGTACCAGAAATGGCTTCCATGTCTCCTTTTCGAAACGGTTGAAAGCTGGAAATCCAAAATCTCAGAGAGGCTCTCGTGAAGCCAAGATCGAGAACGACGCACCGGGCGTCAGGCCTCGCACAGGGGGGAGTTCACGCCATGGGATTTACAGGTGGATTTCTGTTTCGAGTCAGAAAATCATTGTTTTTGAAATCCACGTGAAATCAACAAATGATGGCAAACAAGTGTCCCTCAAAATCACATGGATTTACAATGATTTTTACAATGATTTCACAGGGATAGGGAGTCCACAGGTTTTTTTTTTTCCAGAAAAGAGTGCCCCTCAAAATCACCGAAGATTTTGGACTGAATCTCACTGGCCAGGAAAGTGGAGAAATTGCACAGCAACCCGCCTGCTTCGACGTCGCCGTCAGTCACCAAGGAGGTGTCTCTTTCTGAACGGCTGGGGAGCCCAGAAAAGGCACACAGTGGCAAGATTGAAGACCTCATCAGGATGAATGGATGATAATGGATGAGCCCAGCAGTCAGGATATTTTGGAACCATTAGAATTTTCCTAATAAGAATGAGCAATCATGAAATGGATGAGTACTCCATGGTTCGGATGTAAACAAATCCCGGTCAGATGGAAATGAAAGTTGCAGCTTGCGCAGAGTATCCATCGTTCTTGAGAATGGGCCGATGGTATATTGTATTGTATAGATAGTTCACTTAGCAAAGAAAGGAGCCACTGTCACATACCTGGCATTTGGTTCGTATACTTCAAAATTTCACCGATTTATAGACACTGTTTCTATGCGACATCGGGGGATGTTGCTGTACATTCATCCTAAAATCCATTGTAAGTGTCTAGCCTCCGATTTGAGGGAGCAGTAAGTTAGCTTAGCTGCCCTACAGTCAAGTCCCGTCGTCCTGACTCCTGGACTCAGAATATCTGGAAAATACATAAAAATACATACCCTCTGGTAATTTAACATAACTATGGAAAATCACCATTTTTCATGGGAAAATCCACTATAAATGGTGATTTTCCATAGCTATGTTAGTTCACCAGAGGGTACACATGGGGGATCCTGACCATTCTGAAGCATTCCGCACTGGGGATTTGTTGAGCCATTTCATGTGATCACCAGGAACGTCTGTTGATCAGGTGGTAAATGATCCTGAAATCAGATCTATCACTGGGCGATTTTTGTTCATCGTTGACAATCTTTGTTTTCCACCGGAAAATAACATATGTTTCTGAAAAATCGTTGTCCTTTATGATTATCAGATTGTTATATCAAGACATTATCATATTGATACTGCGACATTATTATAGTATTTTATTGTTATATTCTGACATTGTGGTAGGGTTATATCGTGATTTTGTGATAGTGTTATCTTGTTACATTGATATATTCTGAGATAGTTTTTATATTGTTATGTTGTTATGTTCTACTATTTTGTTATGTTGTTATACTGATATATTATATGTCATACATTACATGTTATATGTTAAATGTTGCACAATATAACATATACATTATATATTATGTATTATAAAAAATGTTACATGTTATATGTTATGCGTTAGATGTTAGATGTTATATGTCAAACTATGCATTATACATTGTACATTTTATATTATATATTCTGTATACTATACATCATATATTATACATTATTTTGTATATTGTATATTGCATATTGTATATGCTATATTATATACTATATACTATGAATTATATATATACGTATATATATATATATTGTAATATAGCATATATTACCGTTGCAATAATCATCATAAATGTATATATTGTTCTTAAGTATATATTGTTATTCAGTACATATTGCTATTGTTATTGTTGTTATCATTGTTGTAATTCAACAAACACGACACTGCTGTCACAAGCTGCCATCAACCAGCCGCCCAGGGCTGACTCCAAGGACCGGGCCATGGACTCATGTGGAACAGTGATTCCCATAGCGATTAATAGCGGGAAAGCCACGGGAAAGCCACGGGAAAGCCACGGGAAAGCAGTGGTTAATAGTGGTTAATAGTGATGAAAATAATGGCTAATAATGGTTCAGAAGCATAGTCATGGGGGTTTCCATAGTGGGGTACCCCAAGGGAGCTTCGGATGGTTGATTGAAAAGGGGAAATCCATCAATGGATGATTTGGGGGTACCCCTATTTCAGGAAACCTGCCTATCTAGATTAGAACATATTAGAAATACTATATGTTTGTGGATTGCGTGTTTTTTTTTTAAATTAATATATATATATATATATCTACATATCTGGTTCATATACGGCGAAAAAAACTTTATAAACCACCGAAAAAACCATCAAAGCGAGAGATGTCCACATCCAAAGTTCCACCAAGCCGCGTGGGTTGGGATCGTGCCAGGAAGTCTCCAAGCAGGGACTCTCGAAGTTGCAACTGCTCCGAAAGCGTTTGGAAGACACCATGCGGGCCGCGGAAGGAGCGATTTGACAGAGGAGTTGGTGGGTTTGTGCAGTTCCAACTGTGGATATATGTGATGTATTTCACCATGGGGTTCTATCCCAACTTCTGGGGGTAGATTGGCCAAAAACGTCGTCGCGTCGCTAAGCGAAGCGATCTGAAAGATCTCCCTGCGGCAGGTATAATCCCTCCGAAGGCGGTATTCCGCGGTGAAGGGACTCCTGGTTAAAAGCCCCATGGAGCTGAGGGAACTCGACCAGCTGTCCCGATGAACATTTAGCCATTGGTGAATTTCCCAATTTTCAGATGCACCCAAATATCATGTTGGTGAAAAAAAAACATCATCATGAAGTTGGTTATACATCCCATCAAATCCCATTAAAAACCCATTAAACCAGCCTCATTAAACTCCCGTGAACATCCCATGAGCCCATGAAAATCCGGAGGCACCTGCAGTGCCCCAGAGTGGGAGCCTCAGACAGTTGTTTCAACAGGTTTCAACATGCTTGGAGTTTACAATTGTCGAAGAAGTTTACAAGAACTTAGTAACAACATTGGCGGAGTTTACAAGAAGTTTTAATGTTCCTGTTGGAGAACATTCTAGTAAACAACAATCCTTTTGGTGGAGTTTACAAGAGTTTGGCATTAATGGGATTTATAATATTCATAAGGTCGATGGATTGCTTTAAGATCTTTAAGGGACAATTTACAGGAACCCACTCTTTTTTATTCGATGCGAACACCCTCTGGAAAAAATCACAGTTTGACCCTCTGAACATCACCCATTTTGACTGGAAACTAGTCTTCCAACCCCTATCTGGCAGGGTCCATGTTAATTTAGGGTAACACATATAACACACACACACATTATATATATACACATAAATATGTAACCGATGGACAACTGGGTATATTTTAGAACTATGGAGATATATCACCTCCTTGACTCCTTGATTCAGCGCATTTGTTGGTGGTCAATGGGTGGTTTTTGTATCATCCCCCCCAATGGTAGGTTTATGGCATTGAGTTGCACACATTAGCACATATAGAATGGGCTAGCGCCCTGGTGCCGCCGACCCCCCTATTGGGGGTGGTCCGGTAGAGAGAGAGAGAGAGAGATCATTCCGCTTAGAATTGTGATGGTCGCCGACATGTGCTGCAGTCTTCATGCTCAAATTTGACCCGACATCTCTGGGTTGCTATGCCCCCTCCCTGCTTGACATGCTTTCGCAGGCGTGGAACCAGTATGTGGTTTCATCCCCTTCACCGTGGTTTCGTTGAAGGATGTTTAAGGAGAAGGGATGATATTGGTTGAAAAACATAAAATTTTCAATGGTATACATCCCATGAAATATACCGTCACATACCAATAAATCCCATGAAATCCCTTTATAAAATCCATTAAATATCATTAACACATCTGACATATCTCCTTAGATCCCCTTAATTCGTTACGCCTGTTGTGATCTCCGAGAAAATTTTCCACCCCAGCTTCGCTCAGCCTGCACTTGGAGCCTTCGCCGTCGGAGAACTTCCGGGTGAAAATTATTCGAGAGGACGGCGACTGACCGGGAAAACCATGGGAAAGCAGTGGTTAATAGTGGTTTAATAGTGGTTAATAGGGGTGAATGCAGATTGATAGTGATGAAAATAATGGTTCATAATGGTTCATGATGGCTAATAATCCATACGGAGGTTTCCGTTTTGTCATGGGGCTACCCCAGTCGTCAGCATGGTTGTTTCAATAGGAATGTCATTTGGGCTTGTCTTGTGGAGATTTGGAAGGGAACCGGACAAAGGTCGGCGAATTGGCATGTTGAAAATGCCAGATTCCATGGATTTTCTGGGTTCTAATGGGTTTTAGCATTTCCAAAATTTTGGCACCAGGAGGCATTTTGGGAGGATTCCAAGTCGATCTTTTTTGTTTGTAGTTTCCCCTCTCCAGCTTCATTCTCTGCTAGTGTTTGGGAGGCGAACTTCAACAGCGAAATGTTGCTGCCAACTCATGTTGGCAGAAACCCATGCAGAGGAACCAAATAAGTTTAGGTGCCAAAAGATATATTTTTTCGGAGTATTTGTTTGTGTTGATGTTGAAATCACCATTCTTTTCTGGGACGGTGTCGCAATGGAGACTCGACATTTTTATGAAACAGATGGAAGGAAACACAATAAGTTAATAAGATTTTTCCAAAAAATGTATCATCATTAGCAACTCTTACACGCATATATGGTGAATGTCCAGGATAGTTTTGAGAACTTGATCAAGATCAGGTAGCAGAGCATGAAATCCCCCAGTGATCTCCCCATGTCACCTGCGAGTTCGTGGAGTTCCCAAAATCGCTCCGTTTCTGATGGATTTCTCCAATTTTTGGCCACGAAATGCACCGGTTTGTTTGGTGATCTGCCCCAAACTTCCATGGTTTATCCTTATAATTCCCATACAATGGCTGGTTGATGGGTATAAATCATGTTCACAGATATCCACGAAGTAATGGGAAGATGAGTTGTACCATTGATCGTCGGCGATGTTCCAAGTACACCATGGTACACCAACTTAGCTGCTGACACTGGTGACCAGGGAATATCCGAGGCTGAGATGTCAAGGGCAATCCGAATACTCCTAGTCACAGCGTATGCCACCCTCGTTTTTCAGGTTACAGTGAAGATTACCCTCTGGCAAACTAACAGTTTGCTATTGAAAATGGCCATAGACATGATCGATTTGCCTATAAGACATTGTGCTTTTCCATAGTTTTCTGCAGAGTTTACCAGAGGGTAAGGAGTTTCTGAGGTTTTACCAGCATATGCCAACCATTTTCTGTGTTCTGCAGCCCAGTGTTTGCGTTTTCCCGTGGTTCCGTGCCTGGCCATGCGCAGGAAGGAAAGCCTTTGGGGTTTCTGGTGGCCTTTCACTCCATGGTCCAAGGAGGGGATCCGACGGCGGAACGGACACCTCCACGAAAAGCACCAGTCCTTTCTGGCCATGGTTCCAATACTCTGGGTAAATTATAACGACCTCACTGCGACCTCACTGGAAATCATAGTTAATAAGGGGAATCATCCCCAAATGGCCCAACAATTCAGGTTAGTGAAATATTATAATTTACCCAGAATACTAGGGAAATCACGTGCGTTTTTTTTTTTGTGCGTCAGAATCAGAATCAGAAGAGACTCTCCACTTCTCACACCGCTCTTTCACCACACCTTCCTCTTATCCCAGCTTTCGTCCCCCTTGGCCTCCATTCATCCAATAGGAAATCGTTATCAAATTACCACCAGGATAAATCCTCAAAATGGCGAAGTAGGCTCATTTACTGTACGTATATCCCAGATGAGTAGGCCGTTCTGCATCCAGATTTCATGTCAACCAATGAACCGCAAGATTTGGGACTGCCGGAACTGAATCTCGACCCAGATATCTTTGGGTTTTCAAGATTTCCTGCGATGTTGTCTCCCATCATGACAGTTTTTTCTTCATTTTTTGTTGTTAATTGGGAAGGTACCGTTTAAGTATCAAATCATGACTATTTTAAAGAATATCCCCCTGATTAATATACCAGCGTTTTTTTTAAACCAGGGGTTGACATTAACAGTTCGCAGTCATTTTTTTTGAAGAGTCATAAGAGTTGTGACTCCGCCTGGGTCTAGTTTCGGGTCTCGTTTCGGCAGGCCTTGTGATTCAGGAGCAGCGTGGCCGTGGCCTGTGCGGCCTGCTTGGCCGGGGTGAAGATGGAAATCCCATAGGAAATCCCATATGGGGATGGGTCAAAACCCTGGTACCTAGTGAACCCCAAAATAGCTGGGATTTATGGATGTTCATCCCATTAAACATGGTATTAATAGGTATTGATCCATACCCATATGAAATCCTGAAACAAATCTTGCCGTCACATATCTTGCCGTTGGCCAAAAACTCGCACTCGGTCATGAGACATGGCTGTGAAATCCCATATGAAGGGACCGTCTCAGACCTTTGACGTATTTGGGGGATGGGGGGGTATGGTATGGAGCTGGATGCCCCCAAAAAAAGACGGAGTCCATCTCCCAAGGCTGATCACTAGCTCCATCGCCATTTTCCTGAAACTTCTTCTGTCGGCTGCAGCAACGCTATCGCCAGTATTTCACGGTATCTGTATAGCTGTTGACCCCGGATTCCAAAGCTTTCAAGTTTCGGACAGGACGTAAGGGATGATTCTGTGGCAGCGGAACAGTGGAGACGCAACTTGTGTTCCAACGGGCGGTTTTGGAGCGAGTTCGGGGAAACAGAGTGAAGAGTGACATTGATGACATTGGGTTGGCTCAAAATGATGTGCCTACACGGGAAGGGGATGGGTAAATACCAAAATGACCACCTTCGCCTCTTCTGGGCGCCTGGTTGAACACCTGAGTGACCCTCTGGAATGGGACAAGGACATGCACAAGACACACTGATACTGATCCTTTATGATATTATGTTTTTTTTTCACATATTTTAGAGGCCAACCAAGGATTGAGGAACCTCCAACAAATCGCAAGTTGATTTGGGGCAAGTTGAAAACTCTGATTAAGCCTCCACTCGTACAAATTTCCGGGCATGAAAAGTGTTGATGCAGTGGTAGTTTGCGAACAGATCATCATCTGTAGTCTATAGTAATCTATAGGGTCTACAGTCTACACGTACATGAATTACGAATTACGTCAGTTCCCATTGATGTTGGTTTTGCCCGTATAAAAATGATTTCTACTGTGCCTCCCTTTTTCAGGACAATTTTTCCCGGCTTACCAGGTCAACGCCCCGAAAGTCCGATGGAAATTGGCCAAGCCATTATTGAAATCAACGAGCACCTGGGGCTGTGCATTGGGCGGGGCCAGAGCCTGGATTCTGCCAGTGTGTTTGCAACTTCGAAGTCGCAAAACACATCTGAACGAACTCTGTTTGGTTGATCTATGTTGATCTGTTGGCCAAGTTGCGAGTTGCGATGTTTCTGCGGGTTCCCTTTGTTTTGGCAAGCATGGTTGCTTTCACTGGAAGCTGAGCTCTTGGGAAGCTGTGGAACCTCCTCGATTCTACATCATATGTATAGCGATTCTGTGGGGTTGCTGCGACGCACATTTCTTCGTTTAAATGATTACTGTAGATGAAGTTTAAGATATTCAGTGTATCGCATCCACAGCATCCACAGCAGGCTCCTATCCTGTTTCTGGACATGTGCAGTGCTCACCTGGACTCCATTGATAATGGTGATATGGAGGGCTTGCCTCATTCAGGAAACATCACTCTGAAATCCAATAGACATCTCAAGAAGCTGGGTAGCTGTTATTTTTTTTTAGATTTGAAACTTACCCTTTTTGGGCTCCCGTTTCTTTTTCTTTTTTCCAAAGGTTGAACCTTGGCGTTTTGATGGGACTTGAAAAAACGGCTTCTTACCATGGAAAACTAGGCAGAGTTTCGATTTTGTGGGGTCTATAAAACCGGCAATATTGATGGATAATATAGTATTTATTCATTAACCCCACTTGTAAATGCCTTATGTCTGGGGTAAACAACTGGGTTGTAACCTTGTCTAAAAAGGCTCGCGCGCATCCCCGTGTGCGCACTGGGTACGTAAATCCTAGGCGCACCAGCCTCGACGACATGATGGATGTGTTACACTCGTCAAATGAGTTTGATTCTTGGTGCACTTGGCGGAACCCATATGTTTTTTTGGTCCCATGAAATGGGAGTCCTGGGGACTTTGTTGAAAAACCCGTAGGAATCTTCCCAACAAAACCCGGATCTTTTTTTTAAGTGCAACCAGCATCAAGTGGCCTTTTGCTGCTCAACAGTTTTGGGATATTGTTTGATGGATTGTGACTGGGCCGTTGAGAATTGTCACTTTTTGGAAATGGCCGATGTCAAGGGCAAAATCATCAAAGTCAATGGTCTATTTATGGTTATATTTGGAGGTTGCCTGAAATAGGGGTACCCCTGTTCATCATCCATTTTTATAGGATTTTGCCACGAAATAAAAACTATCCATTTGGGGTACCACCATGACTATGGAAACCCCATGGATCCTTAAATCACCCAAATCACTGGCTTTGTCACGTCTGTTTTGGCCTAACGAAACGAAACGGTGGATGTAGGGGAATGATACCCCCTGGTCGTTTGTTACAGTTTGCGAACTGGAAGCCATGACCGATTTAGTGATAAAAATGATGATTTACCGTTCTCTGGCGATTTTCCACAGCTATGTTAAGTAACCAGAGGGTACATATGGAGGTTTCCTAAGTCATGGAGCTACCCCCGCAGGCATCATTCAGTCGTCATGGATGACCATGACTTAGGATTGAAACCAAAAAAGTGGCGACTGGGGATCCCACATGACGTAAGAACCCCCCATATGACTGGTTATATATTATATATATATATCTCCGTAGTGATGATTATTCTCCATGATAATCCCATTTAATCCTATGACATGTCCCATTATGACTGCATATGGAGGTTTGAGAACTGGGTACCCCCAGTTCTCATTCATTTTTCATCGGATTTTCCATAAAATAGCTCTTGTGGATCCCCTTATGGAACCCCTATGACTGGGAGTGGTGGAACCGCCGTTGAGGACATGCTGATCAGCACGACACTCACGCCATCGCAACGCTGGACACTCTTGGAATCGTCCAAGAGGCGTGCGCGCGCGGCCTCCACATAGCCTCTGATATCATAAGGACAATTTTCAAGATTATATTAAATTAAAGGACTATTTCCAATACCAGTAGTACCGCACAAGGCGGTGGCGGAAGTTTCAAAAATAGGAAACCTATAGGAGACGTTGGTTGTTGTGAATCACGGATGGCAGAGTGAATCCACTGATTGACCGAAAGGTGGTTGGAGTTGTGTTTGCTGGAATGGTTGCAATGGTTGCAGTGGTCACCTCACCCACAACCGCTGGATGTAGTGTGATGTACTGCAACTGTAGTTGTAGTTGTAGCGTAGTGGAGTTGTAGTTGTGGTGTAATGTAATTAGTGTAGTGTAGTTGCAGTCATATGGTTGTAGCTGTAGTTGTTT